TTATACCAAATTCTTTAGTGATTTCATTCACTTCATTTAATTTTAGGAATAAGGTTCAAATTGATCACTAAACGTAACTTGAAAATGCAATTAGGTCACTGAACGAAAAAAAAAAAAGTACAATTAAGTCACTGAACACTCCAAATGTATGCAATTTCGCCTAATAGCAGGTTACCATCAATTTTGTTGAGAACTCGCGAAAAAAATAGAATGAAATTAAAGTGATAGGCCTAAAATAACAAAAGTAATAATAATCAAGGTGATTGATGAATGTTGATATTTAATGTTAATTAGTAAGAGATCGAATTAAGAACGGTTACTTTTGATAGTTTTTTAGAATATATATATATATATATATATATATATATATATATAGGGTATAATGTATAGTAAATATATGTTACCGAACAATACATGATACTATTAGTTTTTAAAACATGTTCACAATAACATATTTTCAATATTTCCACTAATTTTTTGTTGTGTTTTGAAGAAATTTTTAAAGATGATAACTTTAGAAAAATTATTTTTAAATTAATCTTAAAAACTATTTCAACCAACTTTTACAATAAACTAATAATATATGACTTTTCAAAAAGTAACTAAAATGCAATAACAGAGTGATAATGCAATGATGAGTGACGATACACGTAAATTAATAGGGTGATTATAATAATATAAAATATTTTGAGAGTTAATTTGGACCACCCCAAGTCCCCAACCTTAAAATCTTATTAATTAATTAAACTTATCTTAATAAAGCATATTTGAATGATATATTATAAACAAAAAATTACATGCACTCCTATAATTAACCTCATCAACATTGGAAAACGACTTTTGTCGGGGCTCAAAATCCTCAAATCACAAGCCATAATAAAGGTGACAGTGGACGTGGCATAGGCAGTAGTGGACAAGAATTAATTTACTTAAATTAATAATGATGCATGCATGCTTTAATAAGGATATATTTGACGAGGGTTTGTTAAACTATGTCGACGTGCCATGATTCATAACGCATAAATTTTTCACTTAAAAAAAAATTAATATCTTTTTATGTACAAAGAAAATTAAAGGTGAAAGTAACAATATTATATTATTATATATGCAGGGTTGAGAAAGACAGCTCCAACAAGGTTTCCAGAAACCTTGAGAGGCTTATAAATCTATACAGTTCGCTTCTGGCTGGATATCAAGTTTTTTTTTTTTTATTCGCAAAAAAATACTAGAAAATTAAGATTTAAACAAAATTTTAGACTCAGAATTTTAAGATTCATCAACTGAAAAAGTGATAAAAAAAATACTGACTAGTTAATTTAACCAGTAAGTGAAAGACACTTTTTTGAATCTCAAATGTAATCAAATCAAACCATTTTTAGGTGGCTAAAAATTTATGTATTTATGTCTAGTTGTAACTATGTCTATTCACAATTTAGCAAGGCTCTAATAGCACCAATAAGCTAAGGTGATAGCTATAAATATTTTTAAAATTGAAATAAAACAACTATTTATTAAATACAAATTGATTTGGTTGTGGCACACATGTTATTGAGTATGCAATAAATTCAGAGGTTGTCTAGGAATTGAAGGATGTATAATCAATCAATAATGCATATATTTTTAATTAATTCCCGCGTGTGGCTGCTACGTATAAAGCCTCCAATTTAGACCCCCAAAAAAATAAAATTTATTTAGCCTTATTACGACTACTCTGATGCAAGCTCCATGATGCAAGCACTCCACGCAAGCTTCCTACATCACCACAAAACCACCAATTATTATATTATTCTTATAGAAATTCAATAATGTCAAATATGTAAGCGGTCGTCTACTCTCATTATTTAAGAGATATTGAGAGTTTAAAATTCTCTCTGATCTCATATGAATTTTGATATAATAGAAATCGTATTCAATCGGCAATAAAATAGCTAGGTAAGAAATTTCATAAGAAATCAATTCTATTATTTGGCTCGTTAAGGAATAGATTCAGGAAATGCATTCTAGTGCTTGGTTGGATTAAGGAATAGATAAAAATACAATAAATATCAAATGCAATCTTCTTCTTCTTCTTCTTCTTCTTATTATTATTATTATTATTATTATTATTATTATTATTATTATTATTATTATTAGAATACATTTATAGTAAATAACAAAAATAGATAATAATAAATTATGTATTACCAAATTAAATTCTCCTGAAAATTTTAGAATAGCTTAATACCATAGTGGTCAAGAGTCTCCCTCGAAATAGTTATTCCTATTGCAAAGGAATAAATCATTCCCGAAAATAAAATGACTTACTAAACTACAAAATAAGTATATTCCAAGAATGTTATTCAATTCCAACTTATTCCGTGAACCAAATATATTATTAAGGGTTTACAATTTTTTTCATTCTATATTTTTTTTACCCTTGTCCTTTTAATTTCTGTAAATTTCACCACCACTCTCTAATCTCTCTATGTTTGTGAATCATAACATCACGTGGTATAATATTATAAACGTTTTCATATATTTAATAATTCTAATGATAAACACTTATTCTTTTATCTGTCTAACAAAACAAATTTTTGAAAATAAAACCTTAGTGATGTTTGATTTACCCATTTGCCTGCAGGAGACAACTAAACAATAATTTTTTTCCCCTAAAGTTTTAAGTTTTTAACTATTCAATAAAAACAAATGGAATTAAAAAAATAAATAAATAAAAAACATTGCTTTAACTAAAGTTGGGTCTAAAGACATCTTGCCGCCTTCTTACCACTATTGGTGTTTTGCTCTTTTCTTTCTTTAATTTCTTTCACGTACTGTCTCTCTTTTATAGCTTTGTTTTTGGGCCACTATTTGCATATTTTTGCCTTGTAATATTATATTACTTACATTTGTTTAACTCCAAATGCTTTTAAGTTATGTTATAAGCATTACCAATCCCAAATTTCCACTGATTATTAAACTTACATGTTTGGATATCTTTAACTCTTTATTGATGATAATATATAAAAATAAAATAATTAATTAATTCAATTTGATGATTATATACAGAGTATGGATTTGATTCTCTCTTTTTCTCTCATATCATCATGACACACAAAAACTCTTAAACATGAGTGTTTATGTGTGCATTTCAAACACATTTCTACATTTATAAGTTATAACTCACCATACATTTTTCGTAAGGCATGTTTTAGTTGCTTAATTGGAAAAAAAAAAATCAAAGAAATACATATTTTTATCCCTGGGTGTATAATTTTTATAGTGTATACCCTTAGAATATATTATATTTAATTATGAAAATACTAGATTTAATGTTTATATATATTTAAAGAAAAATATTCGTAAATATAGTCTTATATTTTTTTTTTACCAATTCCATTAAAAATATAAAAAAAATAGTTCACATAATAATTAAATATTTAAAAAAAATTAATGACATATTAAAGAATGAATATTAGGCATTATTTTAGTAAGGAAATGTTGCAATTCAGGATATATTATTCCACTTTTATCGTGCACTAAACACACTATGAAGACAAAACTACTGTCCACTTGCCTAACTAATAAAGAAAAAAAAAAAAAAAAAAAAAGGAAAATGATATTTTTCCTCATAAGTTTTCCCCAACATTCTTTCCATGATGTGATTTATATTTATTGAATGATGTGATTTATATTTATTGAGTATCATGAATTAACTAACTTGCATACTTTTAATCAAATACTAAATAGTGTCAAGTCTTGAGGAGAACTAAAACTAATAATCAACGATCCAAATTAAAGAGTTGACATGTATAAACAGAAGTGATCATAGCCCAAAAGAAAAGAAACTTTACATAACTTAAAAGGGATGGTTGAGTGGGTGGAGCATGATTCTCGTACCTAAAAATTATAAGTTTAATTTTTGCTAATACTCTCTCAATCTAGTCCATTCTAGACTTCTAATATAATTTAGCTTTCATGTGTGGTTTGCAGACTATTACATAAAAGTAGGATTTACTCAATGCAAATATTAGCACGTAAGCAAAAGAAATTCTTTGTTTTTTTTTTTTTTTTTTTTTTTACAATTAGGAACATAAAAGAAGTGGTGTCAATAATTCAAAACTTTAAAATGTGAATTAATTAAAGCACCAGTTTTAAACTAATTTTGTTTGAATGCTCATGTCATGTCAAGTCATTTTTATTGAATGGTCGATATGTAAGGATGGTAGTTTATATAAACTCTCCATATTCTGCCCATATTTTTCACCTCAAATTTCATGGTTCAATTAAATAATTATTTAATTAATCAATAATCGTGGGATAAAGTTTGACTTCTATTTTTTTAATTAGTGGAAAAGCTAAGGTTAAATATGTCCCAACTTTTAGGGACAATGTTATTGGATACATCAACTTAAAAATAGTACAATTAAAATTTTGAACTACATGTAACAAAGTGTTAATTTTGTGAAATTAGTCTTCAATATGACAATTTTAAATATTGACAAACGATAACAATCAGTACATTTGAATGACCATATGAAAAAAGCTTTGTATATACATGAAATGCTAAATCAATAAATATTTCGGTCATTTATTTTAAGATGTGATTAAAAATAATTAACTTATAATCTTGATCAAAATTTATTTAATTATATAATTTGAAAAATTATTACATTTAATTCGCATCCCAATAAAACAATCTCTCCATTAACAGTATTTTAGTTCATAGAATAAGTCAAGAATGAAATAACGTTCCCAGAAATATAATAGACATATTCCAGTGTCTAAGTCATTTTATCACGGGAATAACATTCCTAAGAATAAAGGTATTCCCTTTACGAGGATTATTCCTAAGGGACCCTAGTCCCTAGTATTAGCTATTCACATGCTTTCGGGTATAGCTTTTGTATTACAATACTAAAAATACCCTTTACACAACTGCTTTATATAGGGCATTGAAACCAAGTTGGAATAGAAGAAAAGAAGTTGCAATAAACCACACAAAAGACTAAAGATTACAAAACAAACAAAGGCAAAAGGAAAATTTATTTTGGTCTCTACAAATTTTCCTGCACATTTTAATTAACTATGCAACAGTTTGATTGTATATAAACCCTTTTAAGGGGAGAAGAAAAGTAGACTTTTTTAAACACTCGAAATCCAAAACTTCGAAAATTTTCTAGTCTAGCTGAATGTATACATACAAGGTGTCCAGCGCCGGTCCAAAGCTCAAAGATCATATTGGATCTTCACCGGAATGTCAGAAACTGTCACTTTGTACTTTCAGCTCTTCTAAGCTTTAGCATTCTGCTTACTTGCGGCATGAAACTTTTTCCCGGCTTCAACAGCTTCCCTGTAGTCCACATAACAAGAAATCGTGTCAGATAATTTCTGGGTTCGATTTCATGACTAATCAAATGTTCAAATTGTCAAAGGCAACGTACATTAATAGGAGTGTTAAATTTATTATGGACGAGGTTCCAAGAATACCTGAAAGCCGTGACAAGTTCCATGCTCTCAGGGTCAAGCTTGACACCTTCATAGAACGCATTTGCTGCATCTTCAAACTTCTGCAATTCCCAAAAATTTAAAAACAAAGTTTAGAAAATCCACAAAAGCAGTTTGCTGATAGTCAGATTGCACATTAATGGTTATATGCTCAACACACCCCCTCACTGTGTGCGGGCCAATTACTTTTTGGGCTCCAAAGGAACCCATGACCTTTAGCATGGCTCTAATACCAAATTGAAACATGTGCTCCATCTCAACTAAAAGCCTAAGCTGATAGGTAGGTTGCACATTAATGGTTATATGCTCAACAATTCGGGCATACCTGCATTAGACGTAGAGCCGCGCCTTCCCTATAGCAAGCCTTCGGCCAATCTGGTCTGATTGCTCGGCAGGCCTGGGCATCGGCTAAGGCTTGCTCGGCCTGTCCCAATCGGAACCAACAAAGACTTCTATTCGAAAGCAACGTTGCATCAGTTGGATCAAAATCAATTGCCTGTGAACAATCGAAGCATATAGCAAATTAAACCTCACAACAATAGAAAAGTCGGCATAAAAGAAAACGCACTAGAGCTAACAATACAAACAAGATAGTTAATAAACCTGTGTATACGCATCTACCGCCATTGCATAGTCCTTTCTTCCAAAAGCATCGTGCCCTCTAGCCTTTGCTTCAGCTGCTTTCTTCTTAGCCTCGGGCGAAACCTGGAAATTAATTATTTTCTTTGGAGATCATAGGCAAGGTAGATCGGAAAATTGTGCCACCCTTATTATTGAACAAGAATGACAAAGATGGAAAAAAGAACTATATTTGGACCTCGGGCAAATCTTTCTTGGGAAGGACGGGTTCCTTTGGCTTGTTTCCATCCTTCATCGCATTTGCTTCTTCCTGTACCAAAATTCAGATATAATCAGAAATAAAAAAAAACTTTAAAAAAAACCATTACCTATCAAGAACAAAATGAAAAGTAATAAAATTAAATTACCAAACAGAAATTGAAAAAAGAAAAAAAAAAAAATATATATATATATATATTTATTTATTTATTTACCTGAGCTTTCTCGGTTTGAGATCGCATATATTCAATTAGTCCATCAACAGTCCATTCTGACACACCTTGAACTTGTGATGTTACGGGAAAAAGAAGTTCCACAGCCGCCCGATTACCTCTAGCAGCAGCAACCTGTATTGGCTTCAAGCCATCCTGAACGAATTTTGGCAATTCCATAAGATTCCAAACAATTTCTCGAATTACAATTAAAACTCTTGCAATTATAATTACAAATTATAAGTGTTTAATTCATTTCTGCAAGCAAATAGCAACACACTGTGACAAGAAGTAGAAACCCACACAAATTATATGAAGGAATTATTGTACGATTAAGTCAGTTTAAACGAAATTTCGATCAAAGATTCAAAGAAAACTACTTAGTAGAAGGGGCTATCAAGAACATGAGAACAAAGAGACTATAAACTGTTTTGCAGTTACCTCATCACTGGCATTAGGATCAGCGCCAGCTTGTAACAATGCCTTGATAATCTCCGGGCTACCATTATCAGCAGCAATGTGCAAAGCCGTTGCTCCACCCGCTGTGATATTCACATTAGCGCCAGCCTGTACAAAAAAAATAAGAAAAATAGAAGACTTCATATTAACAGATGGCCATTCTAAAAAAAAAAAAAAAATACAACTTTAATTATTAAATAAAGTTTTTTTTTTTGGGTGAGACCACGAGGTGTCCTGAGCAGGCCCTAACTGTGGGAGACACCTTTAAGCCCGTACCATACTCAGACTAATCCCCGTTCGCACCGGGCCGGCCCAATTAAGGGGCAAAGTGCTGGCCAAATTGGTTTTTCCATACAAGAGGGGGATATTGAACTCCCAACCTCTCTTAAGGGACAAGAATGCACGGCCACTCACGCCAACCAAGCTGGTTAATTATTAAATAAAGTTCACTTCACATTTAGTACAATTTATGTGATTCTTATTGTATGGCAATTTCAATATTCATGACTCCCCGTGCATCTAGGATGTAATAATCATAGCTCAAGCTAAGGATGCAAATTTCTTGATTTCATCAAAAAAACTTAAATACCAATTATGGAAAATACGTAGATTAAAGAGTATAAGACAAGTTGGTCAGCATATATCAATGTTAGAATGGGGTTTAAACATTAAGAGGAAGAATACTAGAGAAAAATGTGTTTGACCTTTAATAACAGCTCCAGGCATTGCAACGAACCTGCTGCTACAGCTGACAGCAAAGGAGTGATATCATCCTCGGTTTCAGCATTAGGCTAGAAAATGAAAAAAAGAAAAGAAAACTTGAATTTCTTGAACTTCATCACGCAAAAAATTACCTAAATTTGCCCCTCAACAATGAATTACTGAAAGTAAAAGATACGGAAGATTTATTATGACATTGCTCACATTAGCATTGTGTTCTAGCAACAGCTTGACGGAATCTTGTTGGCCATGACCCGCAGCCCATATGAGCGGTGAACCAGCATCACTTTGCAAATCAACATTCACACCTTTGGAAAGAAAGGCTTTCATCAGCTCAATATCTCCTGCAATCCAAAAGGCAAAAAAAAAAAAAAAAATGATGATTCCACATCATAGATTGACTTAACATATCTTGTATTTAGTTGTGTGGGCGAAACTTGTCCATGAATATTAGATGCATGATTCATTCTTAGTCCCAAAAACAATTTAACGGAGTAAATTTCACTTTTGGGATGAAAAAATAGATGGAAACCAACCTAATCCCGCAGCGTGATGCAAAGCTGTTATCCCCATCTCACTGGCAATTGCGGGATCAGCTCCCTGCTGTAAAAGGTAATTGGCAGTTGCAGTATGACCTTGCCGAGCAGCATGAAGAAGAGGAGTTTCCCCTACAAAGCAATAAACTTTGGTGAATAACAAATCAAAGCAGTCAAGTATCTAGCAAATGTACAGGAGAGTCAATTCTATAAGACACTATTTCCTACAGCTATCCATGTAAATAGCAGATTCAGAGGCACATAACAACTTATTCTAATGACATTACTAAAAATCTAAAATAGCACACACTTATTGAAACTCAAATCATATGGCACAGGAAAAATCACAACTTTGCATTGTAAATAGAGGAAAAGGTAGAAACAAAAGCTCCAAAGTACCATCTTCATCCTTGGTATTGACGTCAACCTTCAATTCCTCAACCAAGTACTTGCACATATCAGTCTGGCCCTCCCTAGCGGCAAAATGCAGAGCCCCTCGCTTATTTGCATCCTTAACATCAGCCACTGTCTGTACTAACCCCTTCCCATCATCAAGCTGTTTAGCCAACTCTGTTAAAATAATTAAGTCTCAAATATTCATCATTATATTCAATTTTCCCAAAGAAAAAACATTAAGATTGAAGCTTTACCAGCTAAAACAGTGTACGAAAATCAAATTTCGAACTTACTCTTGAAAAGATCTAGGTCCCCTGTCCGTGCAGCATTCAAGAACTTCTCAACCTTTTCCCTCACTGTTAAAAATTGAAACTTTAAATTGTTTTTTTCATACATACACAAATATACATACCCAGCTACGTAAATAAACATATATACCCAACAATAAAAAAATAAAAAATAGCAGACCTGCAAGAGCATCGGAAGCATCAGGAGCCATTACGGTAGAGAATATGATCTAAGGGAAGAAGTGTGGGCAGTTCTATCCTTAGTTGCGAAGCAGAAGCTTATGTGTTCTAGTGTTCTAGTGTTCTAATGTTCTAGTCTTCTAGAGGTTTCAACACAAGGAAGACGAGGGTTTTGGGGCCTGACGGCTTCTGGGTTTTCTCCTTTTTTTTATATGTTTTTAATGGAATTTGGAAATCAGTTAGATTTACACTTTTTTTTTTAATAAATTCCAATTTTGGTCCTGTGACTATAGAGGTTTTGTTAATTACAATCAACGACTTGTAAAATTGTTAATTTAATACCTTAACTATTTAATTTTTATCAATTTTGATCACTCTAACCAAATTGTCAGTAAAAAGTGACTAAAAAATGTTAATAAGTTAAATAATGAGGGTTATTTTGTCTTTTCACCTTTTTTCTTTCTTCTCCGATGACTGCATTTTTTCTCTCTAGATTTTACGGCGATTGTTTCTCCTGTATTTCCCAACTTGCTAATGCTGTGTATGTTTTTTTTCAATCCTAAAAGCTAATTGCAATTAACAAAACTCCTATAGTCATAGGACCAAAATTGAAATTTACTCTTTTTTTTTTTTAAGAAATAAGGTTCAAATTGACATTGCACGTAATCTAAAAATGCAATTAGGTCACTAAAAAAAAAAAGTGCAATTAAGTCACTGAACACTCAAAAAATGTGTAATTTCACTTGATAACAGGTTACCATCAATTTTAGCGGGTTACTTGCTTACGTGACAACTGAGTTGGCATTTTAAATAATTTTTAATAAATTTTTTTTTTAAAAAAAAACAACGACGGGGGTGGCGCCTTCGGAGACGAACGAAGATGGGGAAGGGGATGGTCGGTCCGTCGTTTTTTTTTTTAATTAAATTTATTTCAATTTTAAAAAATTTTATTAAAATTTATTTAAAAATTATTTAAAATGCTAACTCAACTACCATGTAAGCAGGTAACCTGCTAAAATTGATGGTAACCTGCTATTAGGTGAAATTGCACGTTTTTGGAGTGTTCAGTGGTTTAATTGCACGTTTTTTTTTTCGTTCAGTTGCCTAATTGCATTTTCAGGTTACGTTCAATGGTCAATTTGAACCTTACTCCTTTTTTAAATACCACACACGCATTGTGTGAATAATTCAATGCTCAATGTGTATTTTTTAAATTAGTGTTTCAGAACTTATTAAAGTATCATTCAGTATCCTGGTCAATATGTATTTTGTCTTCTTCATGACCGACTCGGTCGCTGGTCACTTTTTTTTGTCTAAAATTTCGCTAGAGGGTGGCAGGAACCCAAATAACCTGTGATGACATATCATTAACTGATTTTTAGGCTTCATTGCATCAAAATAAATTCTTGATGAATGTAATTGCACATTTTAAAAGTTTAAGAGACTAATTGACTTTTCAGCTAAAGTTTGATAACCTATCTAATCCTTTTCTCAATATTAAAAAACTAAAAATTTAAAATTTTTTAAATTTATAAACACTGAAAAATATTATGTAGGTTAAATTATTATAATATAAAATAATATTATAATACTTTTAAATTATTAAAGTTATTATTAAATTATTATTATAATATAAACACAGATCCGCCCGCACAAATTGCAACCCATAGAGGCCAACCCGCATTAACAACCCTAATTAGAAGGCAATTATGCGAATCGGGATTAACCCTGTGCAAGGGCAAGTTGGACCCTCGTACAAGCCCATGCTGGAAGGGGCTCACCCTTACCCTCACCAATCATTATTCTATTGATCTAGTTCACACAACTATGTGGATTACAAATAAAAAATACATTATTTGAAAGTATATTATTTGAGTATTAAAAGTATATTGTTTTGTATACTATTAAATAATAATATACATTCAGTACTCAAATAATGTAATCTTGATATATTAAAAATGTACCTTGTATATATTTATTGAAAGTATATTATTTAAGTATTGAAAATACTCAGTATATTAAAACGTACTATTTTTATGGTCCACACAACGATTTGAAGATCATGGTCTACATAAAAATTTGCCTACCCTCACTCGCCAAGTATATGGTATGGATTTACGTATAATAATTAAGTAATGTAAAGGGGGTTGAGACTCATAAAGGGGGTTAAACCCCCGAGCCAGGCAAAACCCGACTCGATCTTACATAGGAGTAAAAAATTAAACTCATCACAATCGATCAAGTGCAAAAACACCTAAAAGATGATCCGGCCCCAAACTCAATCCAACCGCTATCTTAGCCAGAGCATCTGCAAGCACGAATAATGTCTATAGTTCTATAGTTATACTCAACCTAGTTGGCACCACCTAGGTTCAAAAGGATCATATATATCAATTAAATTATAGAACAAAGTGTGGTTAATGTAAGTCTCGAACTCCTATATATCCACTCCTCGTGTAGGAGGTTAGTGTGCAACTATGCATGCATCTGCTTTAATGATTCTAAGTGTTGGTTAACATGACCACTTTAAATTAAATGAAAATTGCGTGGCTTAATTCTTTCCATGCAAGGTATTCCATTGTTAAATGGACAAAGGTTGGGTTTACACAAACAGTATAATACAGTTTAAAGACATTGTGTTCTATTGAACAACCGGTAAACTAAATATATCTTTATAATGGACGGTTCAAAGAATAAAGGATTAACATCTACATATTATATGCATGCAATGATTGTCCATTGAACACAATTATGTCATTTTTACAATCCTGAAATCATTTGTGCAATATATTTCGTATATACAATGTGCAATTCACTTCCCCCAAAAACTAAATTACAAAGTTGATGCTGTCACATCTAATAATTTGGATGCATGAAAAAATAAAAGTAATATAGTCAATACGTAGCGAATATATATATATAGATAAATCTTAATGGGGGGAATCTACTGCTGGTACCATTCGCTATACAATCAAATTTCTCAACTCAACTACCAATGGGGGCTACTCTCGATGGTGCATTCACATTACAATGCAGCATCTCATTGTAGTTATTTCATATGAAATTGAAATTGAATCGTCCTAACCATAAACCACTATAATGTATATATCTCGATCAAAATTAAGAGGTAAAACACTCTTTAATATGATGAAAAATTTTCCAAAAAGCAGTTTATAGTAGTCTTCATCATCATCATCTTCGATCTCCTTCTTTCCCAAATTATATGATCAGCTGCTGTACCTTTTTTCCAGCAAAAATTGTAACAAATTTCTTTTAAAAATGGAATTGATCCTAGGTTTATAAAGTTTCTTTTTTTAGCAAAAAAAGATGAAAAATATCATTAACCTCTGTGAAAATCTCCACCCCTGTCGTTATGTTGCTCTCGATCTTACAATGGCATTATCCCAGTCTTTCATCAATAGGACTGCATCACAGAACATGCAACCGCTTGTGCCCAATGCCTCAGCTTTATCTTAACATGTTCCGGATTTTCACCTATTCATCAAATAAAATCTTGTTATAAAGATTATCACGGACAGGCAACATAAGAATCATGGTTCACTCATTCGGGACTAATCAAAATTTAATATGTAAAAGATGTGAATGTTGCAATAATGAAGTATCCCATTGTTATACCGTGGACCAAAACCCTGGTTCAAAACTTATGCGTCTGTTGTCTGTTGTTGATATATTCTGTAGCAGTAGTCAATCATTTATGTATATGACAGGTAAATAAATTGAAAATGTTAACTATATATATGGTGATAACTACAAATACATAAACTGTTACTTGCAGAAACATATTATTTGCGGACCGTTAACATATCTTGTACCTATGTTAAATGGAGGTTAATTTTAGACGGAATAAGATTAGATCAGAATTCATAATGCAAGATAGACTTGGTCTATGGTATCTACCTGGGCTGCAGATCCTCCATGAATCTGAATCACTGCCGGGGCTACTCAAAGACGAGGACCTCCCTCCGGTGGACGAGGCTGAAGGCGACGGTAACGTAGTGCCCTTGCTCCCCGGAGTCGACACCGGACTGAAAGAAAACTGGCGGTTGACGGCGAAATAGAGGTCCAGTGCCGGCAAGGTGTTGCATAGCCGCTGCCCTTCTTCCTCCTTGAATCCAAATCCCAGCTCTATGCACCCTTTAAGCTCGTTAAGATCATCGTCCGTCAAACACTCAGCGTCGCTCTTCCTCCTCTCCTGATTAAGGATCTGGCGGCGGCGCCTCTCCCACGCGACGTCGCGTGGGGTCTCGCACATGGACAGCTGCTTGGACAACTTCTTGCGGTTGCGCCAGAACGGCGGCGCGTGCTCCAGGCGTTGGATCTCTTCGTTCTCCGACGACTCCCATGAGGAGGAGGAGGAGGAGAGAGGGTATTTGTCTTTATTCATCTCAGCTGGCTCTCCCATGGTGATAAGGAAATAGGAAAATGCGAGAAGATCGAGAATATGAGAGGGATGGATGTTTTATTGGAATACGACCGTGGCGGACACAGAAGAGCGCCGCCGCGGCCGGAAGAGGTGGTAGGGGCTTTTATTGAATGCGAATGAAAATATAGTATTGATAGGTGTTGTTAGAGTGAGTTGTATTGAAATAGTATAGGCCTTATAGGAACGGCACCGGCCCGACGAGGTGGTGCAGCAATGCCAGTGAAAGGCTTTAAAGATGAAATAGAAGGTTGAGGACGCCATGGAAATGCGGGACCCTTATTTTCGGATCGCCATGCATCAAAACCTACTCCGATCCGCCCTCCTTTTAATTCACTAATTATCTCCTCCATACATTTAATTTCTTAGCTTTTTTTTTCCCTATATATTTATCACCAATGCCTTTTTTTTTTTTTTTTTTTTACTAAATATCAATTGCTTTTAATTATAAATTAATTAATTTAGTCTTTTTATTTTTACAAATTATTTATTCATTTAATTGTCTAATTCTTCCAAAAAGGCTGAACCCGGCCCGACATAGCATTTGGGATGAGGCTAGACCGGTGCTCACTGCGCACAAGGAGCCCCCCTCACTTTGAGAGGTTGCTCCCACACTGCCGCTGGTGAGACTCGATCCCTGATCATTCTTCCAAAGATTTAATTGTCTAATTCTCTTCCACTAATTGGACATCAATTTCCGTTTGTACTTAGAACTTTATTAAAAAAAAAAAAAAGAGTTAATCAACGATTTGGTCCCTCAATTATTGGCAAACTGTCAATGTAGTCACTCAATAACTTATTCATCGATTTAGTCCTTGAAATCAATTATTTTTAGTCGATTTACCCCTTCCGGCCGTCTTCCATCAACCAGCCGGTGAGAACTCCGATTAACCATGGGCAATTTGGTCTTTTTCACGCCATCTTCTTCATCCTATGACCAAGCTTCACTGAAAAACGCTTGTTGCCGGGAAAATGGAGCCTTTCAGGCCTCGAGCTGAGGAGCGTCACGAGGGCGGCGATATTGCTATGAACATACGAGTGGAGATTCTCCATCGCATATCTCACCCCGACCTGCACCACCCCAGTCTTATCGACAGGCGATTGCGACATAGCGTCGAGGTCTCCAGTCGCGACCGCTGTCCGAGCTCCACCATCAGCCACGACATGGTGTCGAACTGTGTCCTGAACAGTAGGGCAAGGAGTGCCGACCCCATCGACACTCCCACCACCGGCTAAAGCCTTAACCGACTCCGTATCTGCCCGGGAGCTCCTCGGAGATGCAACTACCTCCGACAATTCTGGAAGCCAGCGATCATCAAATTGGTTGGTGAATTGTGATCGTAACATATCCCACAGATTATCCCCTTCCTTCGATTGCCCATGCAACACCTCCACTGTCGGAGAATCCTCCATAGACGAAGGTGACTCGGACCACCCGACTTCGCAACCGGCAGCAGTTCTTCAATTTGACTATGGCGATCACTCTGCTGAGGCTCTACGACAACTCCACGGGGTCTAGAGGGGCCATCGTCGGCCTGTACGATTGCCAGCGTCGCCATAAACGAATCTGGATTGCGATCGTGAAAGTGCTCCAAAGCCTACCGATCGCTGTGATGTTGATGGCGATGACCTGGGGGAGGTCGGACGAAGGCTCTGGACGGACGAGGCAGTGATAAATTACGGTATGATAACACTCGACGCAAGCAACACCCAACACGTCTTGGTTTTGATAAATTACGGTGGCTGCCATATTTTTGAGGTGAGATGGCGTGAAAATACCAAATTGCCCATGGTAAATCGGAGCTCTCGCCGGCTGGTTGACGGAAAACGGGCGGAGGGACTAAATCTACTAAAAATAATTATTTTCAAAGACTAAATCGATGAATAAGTGATTGAGGGACTACATTGACAGTTCGCTAATAATTGAGGGACCAAATCGTTGATTAACTCTAAAAAAATACATATTTATTTGTAAACTCTAATAAAAGTTTTAAAATTCTACAAAAGTCATGATTGAATACACCCGCCTTAGTTATTTCCTGAGTATTCGTTCCCACATAAGTGTGCCCATATATATATATATATATATATACTAGTTTTTTACGCGCATTGCACGATTGGGATAATGCCCAATGTTTTTTTTTAAATAAGTACTTTAAAGTATATTAAGGCAGGATTATATTATCAGGACTATGTGGTCTAATGGTATCCGGGTTGGACTTTCATTTGGAAGGTTGTAAGTTCGAGCCTCAATGGAGGTGTCTCTTTGTGTTGGATTTGTGGTTAAGTTCTATTAAGACTTTAATATTAGAATTAGACTAACGGTGAATTAACGGAAAAATTAAATGGATAATCATATAATTAAGGATAAATTAGAAAATCTTAAAATAAAAAAGTTAAAACCTGAACAATATGAACCATTCATTTGATTTAATAAAATAAAAAAGTTAAAACCTGAACAATATGAACCATTCATTTGATTTAATAATTTGACGGTATCCGCTAACACTAACCCTAACTGCTGATTGTCAAACAAGGACATTGCGAGGTAGTTCTCACTTCAATTTGTTGTGTGATTTGAATACTCTCTTTGTCACAAAATCTCTCAAGTAGTTAATATGGTTGGCTTTATTAATTATATTTTTTAAAATTTTTTCATGGTATTAATAAAATACTTGGTAAATAAATATATAGCATTATTTTGTATTATAACTTTGATATTTAATTAGAAAAATAGTGCAGAAAAAAGATAATAGATAATATAGTGAATATAATCAATTGATGAATTTGAATGTAAAAATTTGTACATTTGAGAAAAATAAAGACAATATAACTAATGAAAATATTTCTTTTAATTAATTTATTGATAATTAATAATTTTTTTCACTGAATAAAGACATTGTAAGGATAATGTAGCGAATATAATCAATTAATAAATTTGAATATAAAAAATTTTTATATTGAAGAAAAATAAAGATTATATAACTAATAAAATTATTTCTCTTAGTTAATTTATTGATAATGAATTTTTTTTTTTTTTTTTGGAATAAAGGCATTGTGGACACATAATTATAAATTAAAGAAATGCATATGTATTATTTTTTGTTGTAACTACTAAATTATTATTTATATAATTTAATAAGAGTAAAATAGAGTACTAATTATGCCAACTTTGATTGGGATGAGATTCGAACCTAAGACCTTTTTCTATTGAAATCAATGAGTAAGTTAACGATGAACTAATGACAATTCTTAAAATTTTAACGGAATTAGTAACGATGTGTGGGTATTTTAGGAAATTTTAGTGTAAAATTTAAATCTGATCAATCTTTCAATCAATCTGAGCCATTCATTTGATTAAAATATGTGACCGCCATTTTTTCTACCTATTATAGGCCTAACTCTCTTGGGCTCAATCTTTCAATCAATCTGAGCCATTCATTTGATTAAAATCTGTGACCGCCATTTTCTCTACCTATTATAGGCCTCACTCTCTTGGGCTCTTATTAGTATAGTAGAAATGCATATGTATTATTTTTTGTTGTAACTACTAAATTATTATTTATATAATTTAATAAGAGTAAAATAGAGTACTAATTATGCCAACTTTGATTGGAATGAGATTCGAACCTAAGACCTTTTTCTATTGAAATCAATGAGTAAGTTAACGGTGAACTAACGGCAATTCTTAAAATTTTAACGGAATTAGTAACAGTGTGTGGGTATTTTAGGAAATTTTAGTGTAAAATTTAAATTGATCAATCTTTCAATCAATCTGAGCCATTCATTTGATTAAAATCTGTGACCGCCATTTTTTCTACCTATTATAGGCCTAACTCTCTTGGGCTCTTATTAGTATAGTAGATATATATATATATATATATATATATATATATATATATATATATATATATATATATTCCACCATATATATCTATCATTTTAAAAGTTTTAAAAATCTCTATATTTTCTCTTATTTTCCACCAACTCTCAACCGTTAATCTATCTAAATGAATGGATCATCTAAATGAATGGATCATATTAGTCCTCACTTGTTATATGAGAGCATCATTGATTCTTTTTACATGGTTGATCAACGGCGGGAAATAGGAAAAAAAATTGTAATTATTATCAACTTTAATTGTACACTAGACAAGTTTAAGAGTATATCCATGAAATAGGTCACTCAAGTTTTTTTTTTTTTTTTTAAAGCACTTTTGTTTAGTTCTTCAGTGCATCGTAATTATCAACATATGTTTATTAAAATTTATCATAATTACAAAAATATTATCACATTTTTCTCCTTAATTCAGCCATTGTATATCGGATAATCCTAGTTCCTAGATAGAAGGTTAAGATTATTCCACATTTTTTTTAGAAGAAGATCATATGTATTATCACTTGAAATTTGAAACCAAAAGCTGTTATCATAAGTTGTTCCGGGTTCTTCGAACCTAAGCTGTTCTCATAATTTTAAAGTTTATTGAAATATATGAAAATAGGTTAAGTGTATTAAAGTAATATATATATATATATATATATATATATATATATATATATATAACTTTTAAACCAAACAAGTTTATATAATATACATCAATTTTAATTAAACAGATGAATCTAACATTTCATGTAATCACCCCTTAAAAAGGCAAATTATGTTGTGCATCCGTATGCACCATGCACGGCGTCGTTTTATTAAAAACGCGCGTCTCTCCTTAAAAAAAATTCAAGATTGATTCTCAGCAACAACATATGAACTAAAATTCTAGAATTGATGAACTATAATTCCATAATCGATGAACTAAAATTCCAGAATCTAATCTATTAACTAAAAATTCCAGAATGAATGAACTAAAATTCCAGAGTCTACGAACTAAAATTTCAGAATCGATGAACTACAATTCCAGAATCGATGAACTATAATTTCAGAATCAATGAATTAAAATTCCATAATCTATAAACTAAAATTTCAAAATGAATGAACAATATAATATTGTTGCTGAGAATCGAACATGAATTTTTTTTAAGGGGAGACGCGCGTTTTTAATAAAACGACGTCGTTTTTGCATCCGATTGCATAACTACTCACTTAAAAAGTACTGTTTCTGGGCAAAAGACCGTTAATTTGAGTATTATTAATTGTTACGATATTGCTTTGTCCATAGTTTCATATTGTAAACTAAGGAAGAGAAGTGTTAGGGGAGACAATAAAATAAGATGAACTCTTCGGCGATCTTCTATTATATCTTTTAAGATGAAGAACTCACAAAGAGCAGTTTATTGTAACAAAATCGTGTGAATTTATCATAGACGATTGTCTGTTTTTGTGTTGAACAAGAAGGAATATGTTATTTAACTTAATTGTTAAATAGTTAAAATTTATTATTTATTTGAATTGAAAAATTTAATCAAGAATTGTCTATGCAAAATTTATTACTTAAAAAGAAAAACCAAAAAAAAAAAAAAAACCGAAAATCTCGAATAATTTACAGACAAGCTAAAGTCTATGTAAATCTCCAACTTAATGCATTAGTCATATGATGCTTTAGATTAGAAACATCATGGTTCAATTACATTTGCTGACACTTTGATTATCTCCTTAAACATCATTAAAAAGCTGCCCAAATCTTTAATCAAGAATATGAATACGTATGCAACTAAAAAAAAAAAAAAAAAATCCCACACAGACAGGAAATTTCTGATTCACCGACAATTTTTTTTAAATCTTGAATTTCCATGGGTTCAACTATGGTTAGAGACATAGAAGAAAAACAGGTCAATTACATCAGATTAGCTCCTTAAACATGATTATAAAGTTGCCCATATCCTTAAACTTGTGTTTCTAATTTATGGATTAACAGAGAAGGGAAGATCCAAAGCCAGAACATGAAGAAAATGACCAAAACTTTGAATTCTTTCTCTGCCCATTAACTCAACTGCTACTAACAAATCAAGATTCAAGAAGAGCCTTGAACATCAAAGCAACAAGCAAATGAATATAATAAATTCTCTCCCTCTCTCTATAATTATATATATTGATATTGATGATGAATATAGCAAGGTATCTAAAGATCCCAAAAAAGAATCAGAATTCAGAAACAATACAATCAGCTCAAGAATCAAGAACCTTGACAGCAGATCTCGTGGTCTTGGGCCTCCAAGATTGAATCACAGAGTCTTGATACTTGGACGGAACGGCCATGGATCTTCGCCTCCTCTCCTTCCCCAGCGAAGATGAAGTGGGGTTGGCGATGTTGAGGTGGGTGATGTTGAGTTTATCGAAGCAGAGAGGGCGTCTCCTCCGGCGGATCACTCTTTTCTGAATGTAAGGGAAGCCCACCGCGGAGCCGACGGTGACTTGGTGGATTGCCTTGACGAGTAGATCGAGGCCGCGGCAGCGGGCAGGAGAAGAAGAAGGGAAAGGGAATGGAGGCGATGATGATGATGATGAATCCGTGGAGGAAGCTAGAGAGTTGGTGGTGAGCGATGATGAAGAAGAAGAAGGAGAATTGGGAACCGATTTTCTGATTCTCATTGTGAAAGGGGTTTGGAGGGAATTGTTGAGCTCGATGAAGAAAGAAGAGCAGAAGAGAGAAAGAGAAGAAGGAAGATGGAGGTGTTCCTTTGCGAAGACGGGGCGTGGACTGAAGCCTGAAGGGTGTATGTATATCATGGATTCATGGGGATTTGGGTCTGTGAACTTGTTTGGGCTTTAAAACAAAACTAAAATTATGATATTTTTTTCCTGCCCAAAACTAATAAGATTATATATATATATATATATATATATATATATATATATATATATATATATATATTTCATTATTACATTTTTTTAATACTACTTAAGTCTATTACATTGTAGTATCTATTCAAACATATTTTCTTAATCTAATGAAGCACACAGAGTCAACAATACCTCCAGACTCAATCTCATGACCTTCCACAGGAAAGAGGTCACTACATGTCATTTGAGCACAATGTGCTTCACATTTTCATTATTACATTATGTATCCCAAAGTGGCAAATTATACAATGGACGGTTGTCAACATTACAATGTAAAACATTGATAAATGTTACTCGTAATTTTTAGTATATTAAAAAGTTGAGTTAATACCTAAAATGATCATAGACTATAATGGTTTTTCTCAATTTCGTTATAAATAATTTTGGTGACTTAATGTAGTCCTAGACTTTTGTGATTTTGCTTAATTTAGTCACTCGTTTGTTATTCCGTCCATTTGGTGTTAAATAAAGGGACAATTAAGTAATTTCAATATTGACATCTCTTTACTTCTAGACCTGTGAAGTACAAAATCTCTCTTTCTTTTACGAATTACGCAAAGAATTACTCCCAAATCTGCGAATATAAAACTTGATTGAGAGCAATGACCGACCAATATTGAGATTACTGAATTGTCATTTTATTTAACACCAGTTTGTCAAATAACAAATGGAGGACTAAATTAAGCAAAAATACAAAATTATGGGACTACATTAGGTCACCGAAGTCGTTTAGGACGAAATTGAGAAAAACCACTATAGTCGAGAACCATTTTGGATATTAACTCTTAAAAAGTTTTTGTTTTTGTTTTTTTTTTTTTTTTTTTTTTTTTTTTGTTTTAAATTTTCTGAATGTTTATTATTTAGTATACCAAATAATGAACTTTTAGTACACAAAATATGAACATTCAATATATTGAAATGAATCTTATATTTGTTCGTGATTCACCTTACAATGTGGACCATGATCCTGGGTATGATGATTGTTCTGAAGTACACTAGACAGGTCTTAAGTCGTCCTATCATACCCAAAAAATATATTTTTATATGTATACAAAGAGGTTTCATCACCTTTGAATAGGTAGTCGTTTTCAATAACCTTGTTATTGATGGAACAAGACTTTAATATGATCGGTCAAATAAGAAGAGAGATGACAAGAGGGAAGATGGAGGTGTTGCGGACATGACTGGAGGCGAGTGAAGAGTGTATCTCATGGGGATTTGGGTCTGTGAACCCTTCATCTGTCAAATGAACATTCAATTTATTAAAAATAAATTTTTATGATTATTTTTTCCTCTCGAGAAAGTGGCTTGCGCCTTCGCTTGGCAATCACTTGATCTTAATAAATGGTATGAGAATTAGGTTGCCAGTTTTAGCATAATAATTCAATTAAAAAACAAAATACGTAAGTAAAGAGAAAATGGTAAGATATTTCAAAAACAAACCCCATACCAACTGTACTCAAGACCGCTCATTCACTAACTAAAAGTTTACAACTGTCACGGAGAAAATCTGTACACAAAAGAGTAATCAAAACAAAGATTGGACGTGTACAAGCAATGAAATTGGGATTTCCAGGTTAGCTAAACAAATTTTCAGTGTACCCAACAAGTCTGAAAAGGTTTTCCTAGGATCTGATTGCATGTTTGTTTTGACTAGATTAAGGAGAAACATATTTGTTGTGATCATGGCAAGCCAGAATCGATAAGTTCTTCAAAATCTATTCAGAATGGTGACTAACACTCATTGTGCAACAGAATCTTACCTCTTCTCCGGCTTCTATTGCATAGAGAATGCAGTACATATATTGCAGTTTCTGTGACAATATTCTTGGGCTACCAATCTCTCGGTTTCTGGTAAGTAATATATAGATAATCTATATATTTCCTCTGACCTGGGAATTAAAGGAGCGTCAGAAAAAAAGAGTGAATAATGAGTAACAATTGAGGGGCATCCATCAGTGCAATACCAGATAATGGTTTGCAGAAAACGAGTCATGTCGTAAATTGAAGAACTGGGGAATTCTCAATTTGGCCATTGGACTCCAGACCGGGAAACTGCCCAATATCATGTCCACTCAGTGGTTGGAATTCATTATGCAAACCAACAGCATACTCTTCTGGACAAGCTCCACCACTTTGCAAGTAATCTGCAATCTGAAAAAGAGAATAAAAAAGTAGGGGAGGGGGCGGGGGGAAAGAATGTTAGGATCAAGCGCTTATCACTACGTCACAGTTCACTCTTGCCGACCCGTGATCTGGTTCTAATACCACTTGTTAGGATCAAACGCTTACCACTATGCCAAAAGTTATAGGGAGGCACAACTTTATTTCCTTCTACCCGCCACTTTTTCGATAGGCAGGGTGCTGGACTTGGCCCTTTAGGCCTCAGCCCAATAATCCCCAAGCTAATGGGTGCTGGAATTGGCCCTTCACTGGCCTCCGTCCAAAAGAAGAAGCCATATCTAGTTTAGAATTGTACATGATAAAAATTGAAAAGCTTTTGGTTTTGGAGGCATTGTCAACTCAGGCCAGACAAAGGAATTCTACTCTCTACCGGTTTCAGTAGTTTCCCACTCAAGTGAAGTACAGAGAGACTAGGCTTTCATAACATTCTCTTATCAATATTAATGTGTTTTCTACTTTCTCTAATTTCGCATATTTAAAAGCAGTGACCCTATCAGCAAAACAGAGGACAAATGGTAGAAAAGGGAAAAAAAGACATTACATGATTAGCAAGAGCCATCCCGCTTAAAGCTGCTGCTTCCAAACTTGAACCGTGTAACCAGTCACCACATATTCCTGCTCTTCCACTAGGATCAAAGATGCAAGGAATGTTCGGTGTGTTGGTGGGAAGTGCGGCACCCCTAAAAATTAGCAAACATAAAATGATTCATCATTTCTAGCAAGGTAATATAATAGCATAAACGATCTGCACACCGAACAAGGAGGTTAAAGGGCAAAGAAATTTTCCTTCTTTTAGATGCACATTAAACCACTTTCACTTAGACGCAAAAGAATTAAATCACTCTTATAACAATTGGCATTAATTATCAGTACATAAAACGTGCATCTCTTTCATCTCAATCTGATAAGACTTATTGGAGACATCAATATCAAAACAAATTAAATGACATCATAGTTCAAAGATTTCATTTTACCATAATTGCAACCGAGTATACAATGGCCTTTTAAGTGATCCATGTGATAGTCCAAGTGCTTTTTCAACACCCTCAAGCATGGCTTCCTTCACTTTCTCAGCTGTCGCATTTGGAATGCTTTCCTGATAAAATAGCAATATTCATCAATATCCAGCTTTCATAGCCTGTCCTTATATGAATTAAGTCTCTATGGGATGGCTTATCTTTATTGGAGCTTAAATCGCCAAACCGAAAACTACCTGTGGAACTTTGTTTTTCTTTCCAAAGCTCGCTGTGCTGAAAAATGTCCAACAGTGAGGGCCATCGCTTTTGGAACCTAACAGTTTCTTGGTGTTGTTTGCCATCCATGAGACAGATTCAACCCCTTTAACAAAGGCTCCCTCAAAATCTGCATTGGCAGTTGAAGGAAGAGGATCCTCAAATGCTGCAAGGAGAGCCCATATAGAACTCAACTCAAGTCGCTGCAGAACATGAAAATAGTAAAGAACCATAGAAGGTAAAGTTGATCACTGATATAACATGAATACAGCGTAGAATTTTCCTGCATTATTTCGAGTGTATGCATAGTGACTTCTGTGAGTACCTTCATTTGTCTTGCTATTAGAGGAAGCCCTGATGTCGCAAGCAATCGATTTGCACATTTCCCTGGTTTAGCAATGCAACAGACTCATAAAACTCAACCGAAACGAGAACACATAAATTTAGAGTTTTTAAAGAAATGTGGCTTAGCATCTATCACAGGGTTGCAACACACTACAGTGCTACACACCCATGAAGATCTTTGATCCACCAGCCATGTAGGAAATTGAAAATGGAAAAATCATACAAGGGAATGAAAATTCATTGGATGGAAAAGGGAAAGCTGCAATAGAGGCTCAGACACACAATACACGGGGGATACAGAAAATTCTTTCTAAATGAACATTGAATTATTGAAAGGGCCAAACTACTCAGAAAAGAGTACATAATTACCATTATGTGCAATGACAATTGCGTCAAAGTGGCCACAAGGTTTCCCCTTCTCACTCAGGTGCCATGTCCCATTAAATGGCTCAAGTTCACTGACCCAACAAGGCCGCACCACATTGACTAAACGAGTCTGCATCACATGCCAAATTTCCAGGATTCTAAGAAAGGAAAAATTATCACAAATAAATGGGGGCACTACAAATTCAAAGCCCATCAAAATTGGCTTCTGATCTAGTTTATAAGCATCAAAAGGATGTTAGTATGTCACTAGTTCAAGATACAAGAAAGAAATATCAAAGCTGGATGATCAGTGTTCACCAATCAAAGCCTGCCTTCTCAAGCAGCTTCTTTCTATAGTATACTAGAATAGTACAATATCACAGTAATAAATAATGCAAATGAGTTTGTGGAAGTGAATAATTATAGATATATAGCAGAAAAATGACTAGACACCCCAGTTAAATAAAGAAAGAAAAGGCACCTGGGACAATATCGAATCTGCAAGTGGGCGCATTCCATTGACACCAATATATCTTGGAGGTGAAGGTGGAAAAGGAGAGAACTTTCCTCCTAGTTCAAGCTCCCCAATAGTACCCATCCACTGTTGAACCAGACCCCTGTTGGACCAATCATTAACCAGCTCAGAGAACCTAGGGTCAGTCACAGTGAAGAACTGAGCTGCGTGGTCAAATATCAGCGGTTGAGGATCAATTATTCTTGTACCCATTCTTCCCCCTAATCCATGAATTCCCTAAAGCAAGCCAAAAAATCAGTAAATAGATGTATACAAAGACATATATTTAACTTATCACAGAGCTTTTATAGGAAACTGGAAAAGATCAAAATTAAATATGCATTCCTCTTATGTGTAACTGAAACCCAAAGCAATTTGAATAGGAGAAGGGTAACAATGACAAACCGTATCAAAAACGGTGGAACGGATGCCTCTCTTATCCAAGTAAAGCGCGCAAGCCAAGCCAGACATCCCACCTCCTATAATCCCGACCACCGGGTCATCAGGAATCGGGTTCGCGAAGCTCACCTGCTCCTGCGTGAAGCTCTTTTTGATCGCTGACCTCCGGGAAGCTCCGTAAGAGGACGAGCGTTTCGGTTTCCTTGGGATCCGGGGCGGGTCGCTCATTGGCTGTCTTCCGCCGGAAGTCGGCGCGTTGTTGTCGGAGGCGGAGATGGAGCAGCTCCGAAATGGAGAACTAGGGTTGGAGAAACGGGGAACGAAAGAGAAGTTAGCGAAAGTGGGATTGCGGGGTTTGAGAGGTTGAAGAAGGAAAGGAGAAGAGAGGAAATGGTTGGAGACGTTAGAGTGAGCCATGGCCTCCCACAATTTGGAGGGAAAGAATGGGATAAGTCGTTCCGGTCTACTGATAAACCGCAGAATAACGGGTAAAATGGTAGCATCACATACAATTCTATTACATGTATTCCCAAATTTACTCTATCAAATTTATGGCCTGTTTGATTCATAGAATAGATCAAGAATGAAATATAGTTCTCGGAAAGAGACCTATTTCATTGTTTGTTTTGTCATTTTATTAAAGTAATAGCGTTCCCGGGAATGAGCTATTCCCTTTGCAAGGAGAATAGCAATTCTTAGAGGACCCCCTGGTATTAGCTATTCCCAAGTATTTGGGAATAGTTTTAGTATTATAATACCGAAAATACCCTACCACCGCCACCACTATTGTCGACTCCACCACCACCCCACCACCATCGCTATCGCCAACACAACCACCGCCGACATTGCTACCACCGCCGCCACCACCACCTCTACTGCCACCACCGCCACCACAATCACCGCCGTCACTGCTACCACCGCCGCCGCCGCAACCACCGCCGCCGCCGCCACCACCACCACCACCACCACCAAGACCAACAGCACCACATATTTTTATAAGGGTATTTATGTCTTTTGAAACATATTTCATTCTATTCCTTAAACCAACCAAACACTGTAATATAATTCCTAAAATCTATTCCTTCCGCGAACCAAACAATAGAATAGAATTCATATTCTATTCCCGGCCTATTCCATTCCTTATGGAATAGCATTCCTATTACCTCAAAATTCATTCTGTGAACCAAACGTGCTGTTATATTGGGAATAAGGGCAAATAGGTTATCCAACTACACATGAAAAATATAATTAAGTCATTGAACTCATAAAATATATAATTAGGTCCCTAAATAACGCAAAATGATGCATTTGAACAAAAAAATGACCTGTTTACTCGTTAGCTTGCTGATGTGGAGGTTATCATATTAAAATAATAATTTTTTATTTAATTTTAATAATTTAAAATAACAAGATTTTTTTAAAAACATGTTTCCGCTTCGTCCCCTGGAGACGAAGAAGGTTCAAGAATTTGTGAAAGAGAGTTAAAAAGTGAGAATACATGTAATATTTTGTATCAGTCCTACATCCACATCATTAAATATACAATTCTTTTTACTATTTTCTTTACATTCATGCAATATTCTCTCACCTCCAAAAGTGATCCCGTTTTCACATTCCAAAATTCACAATACAATAAAATAACAAAATAGTAATATATTTTTTTAAAAAAATACAAAAACGCTGCCGCATCCCGCATGGTAGCCTTTTTGTACTATATAAGCTTGCATTACACCTAAGCAATAACTATAAAAAACAAGAAAAAAATCTACTTGGCATGCCAAATCATCTTGCAAAGGCTATCGTTTCGAGGATAAAGATAGCCTAATAGCATGTTTGATAGAGAGAATTGTAATTATTTTTCCATTTAATTTTAAGAAGTAGAGTTTGGTGGAAAGAATTGTAATTATATGGAACTACAGTTTTTAAAATTTGAGAAATTGCAAATTTTATCTCTCCTTAGAAATTGGATGGGAAGAAATTTTGGAGTGTGAAAATCAAATTGTCCTCCCTAGTCCCTAATAATCTTATATCTTTCCTTAGCAATTGCAATTATATGGACATTTTGATCTTTATAGTGTTCACCCCCTTTCTTCTTCTTCTTCTTTTTTTTTTTTTTTTTTTTTTTTGAAACCCTGTATATCCCCTTTCAATTCCTAAACATTAGAATTAAAATTCGTAGTAATTCTATTATCATTTACCAAACAATAAACTTTGAATTTCTACTTCATCCTTCCCCCTTGAAATTGTAATTTTTCCCCCTTATTTCTCCCTTTGCTACCAAACGCCCAGTAAGAGTTCTTTAATAAATTTAGCAAAAAAAAAAAAAAAAAAAAAAAAAAAAAAAAAAAAACAAGGTGTTAGAGACATTGCTGAGCAGTTCAATCAAGTTGGTCAAATACTCAACTTTATAACTACAAAGTTTCACAAGATAGGCTTCATAACTACAAAGCTTCACAAGATAGACTTTATCCAAAATGCATTTCTGGATCACAAGATGAACCTCATCCAAAACACACATTCGAGTAACAGTTGCTAACTTTTTTTAAACCAAAGTGGGCAAGTGGCATAAATAGGCATTAAATATTATTTCTTTTGTATTAATATATTAGTGATTAGTGATAAGATTAAAAATGAGTAAAATAAAATAGGAGTAGACATGCTATCATGGGGAGCATTGGTAAGAACCGATAATCAGACAAAAAAAGTTGAAGGAAGTACGTTTATAAACAAGTCAGTCCATGCCTCCATGCCTCTCTTCTTCATCAAATATGTACCCAAAAAACACAAACTGCTACACAATTTACAACACAGATTGATCAACAAGTCATTGCCAACAACCAAGGAAATGACCATTTTAAGGAGTCCAGTTCGTTTTCCTCTAAAAGTACAATAAAAAACACAAAAAAAAAGGAGCTAAACTGCTTCATGATTGAGCAGCAATATGCCCGCTCGGCTGAAAATCTATAATAGTACGATTACTTTCCTTAACCTCTTCGGCTGGAGTTTCCTTTACGTCATTAGTTGGACTTGCATTCGTCTCCTTCACTGACGAGTCGTTTGCAGGAGCTTCCTTTGCCTGGTTTGGTGGAGTTTTCCTTGTAACGTTTACTGGTTTCGCACTGCTAGTTCCATTAACATTCTCCCGGTTCACCAGGGCTTTACTTTTGGGAGTTATGGCGCTCGTATTCCCTTGCCTGTAAGCGCCAATGCTGTGACGACCCCGACCATAAACTTGCTTCACTTCTGGAGAAACAACAGCATCACTGCAGCTTTTTCTCCGTGAAAGGTTGGGTGATTTTGCACGAGTGAGAGGTAGCTGTATCCAAGAACGTTAAAACTATACTTCGACTAACAAAAGAAGTGCAAAATTTACTAGCTTTATGAACAAATCGAGAATTTACTTTCTTAAGTTTGGCTTTTGGTGGAGGCCCTTCATGGTAAAAGCTTGGAACTGGATTTGCCTTATAGACCATGTTCTTTCTAATCTGCTTTATAACTGCTTCCTCTTCTTCCTATAATTTATGCAAAGCTCATTATCTAATTTCTCGAGCATTATAGTCTGGAAAAACGTGAGCATTCAATATTTCAATCACTGAAATACCTTAGTTCTGGCAGCACATTTTTGTTTCTCTGCTTCCAAAGCTTTGTGTTTTTCCCCCAACTTTGAGTAAAACTGTGAAGGGAGTATAAGCAAACATAAAGGGTCGATATATATTGCAAGCAATGATATAGGGGAAACGGGTTTCAGGACATAAATGACGAATTTATTAAGAAAATACCTCTCTGCGTCTTGCAGCTCGATCTGCAGATTTAAAAGTCGGAGCAACTGGAACAGTAATTTTAGATCTGAGAGTTCTCACAGATGCTGCAGCACTATACAAGCTAAGGAAGATAACAGATTCGAAAAGGGAAGAAAATGGGAATGCCCGAATAGTAAATGTCTAGAAAAGAGAGGAGATTAAAATTCATAAAAAGGATACGAAGAAGCCAAGGACCAACTATCTTCTTCGTCATGGTGTTTCCTATCATTTCTTGACACCAGAGGAATTTGCTGGAATTCAAAAAAAAAAAGGTCGTGTTTATACTCAAGTCATCACATTTACAAGACATGAAAAAGTGTCCCGATAAGAGAGCGTGACCCATGACCTTTGGTCTGGCTCTGATACCAAATTGAAGCATGTGCTCCATCTCAACTAAAAACATAAGCTTATAGTTGGATTGCACATTAATGGTTATATGCTCAACACGTGTGAAACTATACCTGTGATCTTTTTACACTCAACGGGGAGTGCAGATCGTTCGATTTCAAAGAGCAGTTCGAACCAGTATCAGTAGTCTCAACACCGTTAGCACTATGCTTGGCAACAAGACCAGTGCCGGGGGACTCCGAGGCAGGCTTCACGGTTGAGTTCGACTTCTTGTCACTCGACTTTAGAGTGTCAGCTTTCACAACTTTTCCCTCCCCGGCCTCACAATTCGTGATCTTAACAGATAGCACATCTTGCTTCTCACCGCAATCCTCAATATTCGCGTCTCTTCCAAGTGCCTCTGAGCCATTACAATTTGGTTTTAAATTGGCTTTCTTGTCGATACGTAAACTGGCAACCTCCCTCCCCATCTGCCTGCACGAAATAAAAAATAAAAAAAAAGCGTTAAAACATGATAGTTCAAAATCGAAAGGCATTAGGAATCAGCTGCCTTAAGTGTCCTACACAGCTCGCTAACAAAAGATTTCCAAACTATGAGAGATCAACACATAAATTTCTAACTATTTCATCACGCAATGAAAGGAATAATATTCTGAAGGTTCCTTTTAACTGCTTTACCCAAAATACTAGGTATTTCCTATCAATCCTGGACAGATCCATGTTAAGCTACACAAATTGCCAGAGTTCCAAAAATTAGGATGACCATTCAGAAATGGAATGCAAACTATTACTCCCTAATAAATTTAAATTTGGAAAGAACCCTAGAATCCAAATGAGAGTACAATATATGGGTAAGTGGCAACTAAGATAAAAGTAAAAAAAAAGTACAATCCTGAGTATCAAACACATGAGGTTTTGTTAACAAGGGGGAGAAATTGGCAGAAAAAAATAATCATTCAATCATTCAATCATTCAATTCATCCAAAAGCCCTAATCTTGCCAGCTGAAAACTCAACCCAACTCAAAAACTTCTAATTTTGCAAGATCAAATGCCCTGAAAAATGAACACAGTCAAATCAAAAGCTCAAAAGCCTCAAACCCATCATGGAAAACAGCTAAACCCACCTTAAAGTTCCTAGTTTGTTCAACCCCATTTTTCAAATGGAAATAAAAAATAAAAACAAAAACTTGGAAACAGTATCATACACAAACAAATATTTGAAAAACAAAATGGAGCAAGAAAACATAGCAAATGGAGTGAGGCAGAGGTGGAACAAGGTTTCCAGAAACAGAAGTGGAAAGAAGCGGAAGATAAACATACAGATCGAAGGAATCATTGCATGAGAAAATGGAGAACTTACAAAGATTTTGCCTTTCAGCTGCTGATCTGACGAACAAGATAGATAATAGAGATCTCTCTGTCTGTCTCCTTCCTAGCAGCACAGTCTTCTTTCTACAACTCTCCCTCCCTCTCCTCTCTCTCTCTCTCTCTCTCTCTCTCTCTCTCTCACTCTCCCACTACTTAAAACAAAACAAGGAAAAACATAAATCTGGCCCTATGTTATTGTCGGGCAATAATTTTTACTCTATCTGACTGTTTTCTTTCTTTCCTTTTTTTTTTTTTTCTTTTCTTTTTCAATTTCACTTTATACTTTCAAATTTTCAATTAATTAAACAATTTTATAATATTTGTTAATAATATATTTATATATACTATTTATGTCCAATTGGATCTATGGTAGCTTTCTTTTGATGACGAGAAAAAATCATACTACTATTCGACGATATGTACTAACTAAACTTTGTTCATATATAATAACTCACAAATTACAAAAAGATGTAAATCGCACTAGAAAGATTTTGTACAACGATTTGTTCAAGAAAATTTCAGTAAGAATTGAATTTGTAACCAATTTTAACACAATGATTTGTAAAATAATAATATCTTCAAACATACTACATGTCACCCAAAATAATAACTGTGTCAATTATGATAAAATAAATGTGTTGATATAAGGATGTCCCATTGTTAATATGAATATAAAATGTGTTTGAAATATTTATTGATTCAGTTATAATTAAAATAAATGTAAACGTTTTGGGGGAGAATGAACATAAATTTAGTTTAAATTCATATATTTAGTTAAAATAAATATATGTTAATATACTTTCAAAAAAAAAAAAATATATATGTTAATATATTTTTTGGAACATAACAACAATAGATACACATATATACATATATACATATATATATAGAAAATTTCAATTTTGGTCACACGATTATATGGGCTTTGTTAATTTCAACACTTAACTTTCAAAAGTGTCAATTTAATACAGTGAGTATGTAAATTTTGTCAATTTTGGTCACTCCGGTCAAATTGCCGGCCAAATTTGGCGGGAAAAAATATAAGCCAACATTTAGTCTAAAATCTGAGGGGCAAAATGGTCTTTTTTATTATTTCTCCTAATTGGTGTTGACCTGGGGTCCAGAGTGATTAGGTTCGATCAAGCTGACTTTTTTTTTTTTTTTTTTTCTGGATGATTTCAGGCGCATATATCTCTACTAAGGTCGGAATATGCTACGATCAACTAGGCAACAACATTCCCACTCCATCAGAATCTGCAGAGTTGATCCATGGCTTAAAGGTGAAGCGGCTCAAGATCTACGATGCCAACCCGAAAATCCTCAAAGCTCTCGGGAACTCCGACGTTCAAGTCTCGGTCATGGTTCCCAACGAGATTATCCCCAACATTTCCTCCGACCAAGCTTTAGCGGACCGGTGGGTGGAAACCAATGTGGTCCCGTTTTACGGCGAGACGAAGATCCGTTACCTCCTCGGCTAACGGCTGAAGATTGTTATCTTGAGGGGGAGTATATTTTTACATGAATCAATCCTGAAGATTGATGACTAACGACTGTATTCTTTTTCCTTAGTTAAGTTTTTCCCTACGGGGTTTTTCTATAAATCTAAGATTTTTAATGACGCAGCTAATCTAAAATAAGAATACACATACATCATGCACTCTTTTCCTCAACTAATTTTTCCCATTGGGTTTTTCTAATGAGGTTTTTAACGAGGCATGAGTATGATATAGTAATGACAATGGGAAAAGTTGCAAAATAATTGCTTTAATGGTCAAACCCCAAAATCTTGAAGATTATGTAGATTACGCCCTGAAGGCTTTATGATTGTACTCTTTTTTCTTAACTAAGTTTTTCCCACAGGGTTTTCTTAAGTTAAGGTTTTTAATGAGGCGACCAATACAATATATGTTTTTACATATATCATATACTCTTTTCTTCAACTAGGTTTTTTCCACATAGTTTTCCTAGTGAATTAAGTTTTTAATGAGACATGAATATATTTTCTATTGTACTCTTTTCTTGTCTAGGTTTTTTCCACAGGATTTTCCTAGCAAGTTTTTGACGAGACAAGATCGTGGTCAAATAATGTCCAAGGGGGAGTGTTATAAATATATCATAAGTGGACATTATTTCTATAACGGATGTAACGGTCATTATTAATACCATCAGTATGACTTTTGTATTATATATGTATTGTCATATATTCTATGTTGTATGGAAGGAAACACATAAATGAATAAAAGATGATCCTCTCCTTTTCTCCTTATCTCTCTATTTCTGAATATTCTTACAACAAATCTATTTGTTTAATTCTATTTTTGTGAATCATTTAGTTAATGTAGTTGACAACTTTATATTATACTTCATCGTATTCAAATTATTTTAGCTTGTTATCCCTTTTTAGCTCTTCTGATCCCACCCTCCAATAAATTAAATGTATTTACCTTTCAATAAATTAAATCTATTTTTTAATTCTATTTTTTTGTGAATTATTTAGTTAATGTAGTTGACAAGTTTATATTATATACTTCATCGTACTCAAATTAATTTTAAAAAAATTTAAGTTGATCTAATTATAAGTAAATTAAAACTAAAGTATTTATGAATATAATGTCTTTTATATTCAAACTATTTTATCTAATCGATTATGTTTTATATTTTTGCTATAATTTCTCGACCTACTGATACACAAAGAACCAATAACGCCTCCACTGAGGCTCGAACTCACAACCTTCCAAATGGAAGTCCAATCCGGGTACCATTAGACCACATAGTCTTGGTCCCTTAACTATCTTATAGTCTATCATAAGTGTTGTATTATAATTTATAATGTATTTGAATTATATTATAGGTGTTTGATGTTTTGTCATTGACAATTCTAAAGTCATTTAAAGTATGCCCCACTCACATAATTTTTTGGATCCGTCAATGTTAACAAGTAGTATAATTAAGAGCAATAGTTGACAATATTAATATTACTGTTGAGAAAATTTCAATTTTGGTCATATGATTATAGTGGCTTTGTTAATTTTAGCACTTGACTTTTAAAAGTGTCAATTTAGTACCTTGAGTATGTAATTTTTGTCAATTTTGATCACTCCGCCCAAATTATCAGCCAAATTTCACCGGAAAAAAAAAAAGACAATTTTACCAGACTTCAAAAGACGATTATGCCCCTCAGATTATAGACTAAATAAATGATTAAGTTTTTCTGACGAAATTTGGCCGACAATTTAACCGGAGTGGCCAAAATTGATAAAAATTGCATAGTCAAGGTACTAAATTGACACTTTTGAAAGTCAGGTGCTAAAATTAACAAAGCTCCTATAGTCATATGACCAAAATTGAAATTTTCTCTATTACCGTTAGTTAAGCTGATGTAGTACTGACATCATCGTTGTCACATCATAATATTTAATTGAAAATTTATATATTATTTTATAAACATTTAAATTTAATTGTTTTTGCCAATAATATGTATGTAATTATTTATTTCTGACATATTAATATTAATGTAATATATTAGTTGTAAAATAATTAATTTTAAATATTTATAAAATAATATTTGAGTTGGAATTTAAATATCATGGTGTGGCAAAATGATGGCAGCTCCAAGTCAACTAAGTTAATGGTTATATTAACACACAGTTAACTGTTATTCTTTTTTTTTTTTTTAGTACTGTTAACTATTATCCTTAATTGTACTACTTTTTAAACTACATTGATTAACGGAACAAAATTGAGATAAATGAACTAAATTGAACAACACACTATAATATAAGAACCTCACATGTACTTTGACCATATAAAAGTGATCACATGAGAACTTGTTTCCAAGATAAAATTAAGAATCAATCTCATCCATTCATTTGGTCAGATCTAATGATTATAGAGCAAGTTGGAAAAAAATGCAATTGTATTTTAATAATTTCTCTAATTTTAAATGTTCACTTTGTAACGTTACACCTTACATTTTGACTAGTTTAAAAGTGTAATACACTTATATTTTACATTTTAGAGTTTTTGATTTACAGTGTCACTCTTTAATTTGGTTTAAAGATTTACAGTGTCACTCTTTAATTTGGTTTAAAGATTTACGTAATTTTTACTCTTTAAGGTTTAATATTTATGGTTTAGGTTTAGGATTTATGTATTAATGTATTTTATACTTTTAAAAATTACATTATATATGTTTTTTTTTTGAAGAATTTTGTTTTTATTATTTTGGATTCTCGAAGGCTTTGAGCGTCAGCCACCCAGCCTTTGTCTTTTGGATTTGAGCATTTTGTCGGAAGGACATCCAAAGCAACATCATGGCTAGAATGAATACGTTAATCTTCTTGCTTTTTCCCTTTCATATCACGTGGATAATATTACTACGTAATGTATGTCAGAAAATGCTACTTCTACTTTTAATCATACAAGTATATATTTTCATAATCTAATTACACAACTTAGTTCTAGGAAATTTTACTGAAATTTTTTCATACTAAATTAAAAACAACAATAAAATGAAAAATTAAAGCACAATTTTATAAGGTATATAACCTTTTAAAATTTCTTAACAATAATTCACTTGAGACACATATCACGATTTACCTGATTCAGTAGTCTCAACGGCTAAAGTAATTTGTGATTCAAAGTTATGGGTAAGCCTTATTGTACATTAAAAGCAAAATTAATTTCTCCATTTTTTTTTTGAATGCTACTGGCTCTATACTGAATCTACTAACACACAAAGAACCAATAACGCCTCCACTAAGACTCAAACTCATAATATTTCAAATAGAAGTCCAACTCAGGTACCATTAGACCACATAATCTTAGCTACCTAAAAGAATAGTCTACTTTACTATACTTCTCTAAGTAAATAATGCAATGAGTATTGCTGAATTTACACACTACACATTAAAAAGGGAGATGGTCACATGGACTCACAACTTTGACATCACTGCATTACAAAGGATATCCTCTAATATATATCTCAAATATTTTATTTCCCAAGACTCAATATATTTTCTACTATTTCACCGACAATTTAAATAAATAAATGAATACAATTTTAAAATTAAATTAATTTGAATTTATGCATGCCGAAGTTTAATGAA